TGGAGAAGCTCAATATCATTAGTTAGAACAAGGCCAGGGGCCGACTGCAGAATAGACTGTCAATTACTCATATACAAGTTCAAGTTGAAGAAAATTAAAACAAGTCCACGAGAGCCAAAGTAAGACCTTGAGTATATCCCACCTGAATTTAGAGATCATCTCAAGAATAGATTTGATACACTGAACACTCATGACCAAAGACCAGATGAATTGTGCGATGACATCAAGGACATCATATATGAAGAAAGCAAAAGGTCATTAAAAACACAGGAAAGGAAAGACAAGACCAAAATGGATGTCAGAAGAGACTCTGAAACTTGCTCTTGAACATAGAGTAACTAAAGTGAAAGGAAGAAATGATGAAGTAAAAGAGCTGGACAGAAGATTTCAAAGGGCGACTCAAGAAGACAAAATAAAGTATTATAACAAAATGTGCAAAGACCTGGAAATAGAAAACCAAAAGGGAAGAACGTGCTCAGCATTTCTCAAGTTGAAAGAACTGAAGAAAAAATTCAAGCCTCGAGTTGCAACACTGAAGAATTCTATAGGCAAAAAATTGAATGCTCAGGAAGCATCAAAAGAAGATGGAAGGAATACAGAGTCACTGTACCAAAAAGAATTGGTCGACATTCAATCATTTCAGGAGGTAGCATATGATCAAGAACTGATGGTACTGAGGGAAGAAGTCTAAGCTGCACTGGAAGCATTAGCAAAAAACAAGGCTCCAGGAATTGACAGAATACCAATTGAGATGTTTCAGCAAACGGAAGCAACGATGGAATCGCTCACTCGTCTATGCCAAGAAATATGGAAGATAGCTACCTGGCCAACCGACTGGAAGAGATCCATACATGTGCCTATTCCAAGAAAAGTGATCCAAAGGAAAGTGGAAATTATCAAATAATATTATTAATATCACATGTAAGTAAAATTATGCTGAAGATAATTTAAAAATGGTTGTAGCAGTACAACCACAGGGAACTGCCAGAAATTCAAGCCGTATTCAGAAGAGGACATGGAACGAGGGATATCTCTGCTGATGTCAGGTGGATCCTGGCTGAAAGCAGAGAATATCAGAAAGACGTTTACCTGTGTTTTATTGACTGGGCAAAGGCATTCGACTGTGTGGATCATAACAAATTATAGATAACATTGCAAAGAATGGGAATTCCAGAACATTAAATTTGCTCATGATGAACCTGTACATAGATCAAGAGGCAGCCGTTCGAATAGAACAAGGGGATACTGAGTGGTTGAAAATCAGGAAAGGTGTGCATCAGGGTTGCATCCTTTCACCATACTTATTCAATCTGTATGCTGAACAAATAATCCGAGAAGCTGGACTATATGAGGAAGAACGGGGCATCAGGATTGGAGGAAGAGTCATTAACAACCTGCGATATGCAGATGACACAATCTTGCTTACTGAAAGTGAAGAGGACTTGAAGCACTTAACCGATGAAGATAAAGACTACAGCCTTCAGTATGGATTACATTTCAACATAAAGAAAACAAAAATCCTCACAACTGGACCAATAAGCAACATCATGATAAACGGAGAAAAGATTGAAGTTGTCAAGGATTTCATTTTA